GATTGCCTCGTTCTGAAGGGTATAATTCGATTTTGGTTGTTGTAGACCGGCTGTCCAAGTATAGCCACTTCCTTCCTCTCAAGCACCCCTTCATGGCTGTCTCGGTTGCCCAAGTCTTTATTCGAGAAGTCGGTCGGCTACATGACACTCCCCGCAGATCATGTCTGATAGGGATAAAGTTTTCACCAGCTTGTTTTGGGAAGAACTCTTCCGTTGTGTGGGGACAGCATTGCGTCGAAGCACGACATATCACCCCCAAACGGATGGCCAAACCGAGGTGGTCAATCGATGCCTTGAAGCCTATCTTCGTTGCTTTACTATGACCATGCCTTCTCAATGGGTTAAGTGGATCGCTTGGGCCAAATTCAGCTACGTTTCATACCTCCACTAAGTTGTCCCCTCTCGAAGCCGTTTATGGTCGTCCTCCTCCACCGAGTTTGCCTTACCCGAATGCTTCCCCTGTTTCAGTGGTAGACCAGCAGTTGCAAGACAGAGATGTGATGCTACGTCGGTTAAAGGATCATTTACAAGTTGCCCAACAACGAATGATCCAACAAGCCAACACCAAGCGTCGAGATGTTGAGTTCGACATCGGTTTATGTGTTTATTTGTGGTTACGGCCTTACCGTCACCACAACTTGCATCCTCGTGCTAATGCCAAGCTGGCCCCACGCTTTTTGGCCAATTCCGTATCTTGGAGCATATCGGGTCGGTGGCCTACAAATTGGCTTTGCCCAAATGGGCCACAATCCACCCGATCTTTCATATTTCTCAGTTACGCAAGGCGGTTGGCCACACTTTTCCTGTCACTCTGTTTCCTGGGATCAGATGAGATAGTGAATACTAAGCCGATTGAGGTTCTTGGTGTGCGGACCAGCATGGATCGACCCCAAGATACAGATGTCCTTATCCCATGGGAAGGCGGCACCGTGGAGGATGCAACGTGGGAGCCCTCTGCAATCATTCAGCTTCAATTCCTAGATTTCCACCTTGAGGACAAGGTGTCTTTGTGGCGGGCGGGTAATGATAGACCCCCAATTATAAATAGGTATGTTAGAAGGAAGGGTAATAGGGGAAAAGAAGATACGGGTGTAGGCCCAAGTTAGTTAGAGGGGTATTTTTGGGAGAAGAATGATGGTTATATGGTCTGCTGCATTGAGGGGTGGGGTTCTTTTTGGTAGATTGTGCCGAGGCATTGTAGGAGAGACTAGGGAGCTCTTGAATTCTCACTCGACCTATAATTTTCCGCTCTATACATAAATAATAGAAGTAGACTCTGTCAGATTATTCTTTCTTTGGGCTCCTATCATTGAGTAAATTGAGATAAAGCTCCAAATATGGAGGAATCCTTATTTTACCAGAGGGTGTCTCATTGATAATTTGAGCATAGCTTAACTGGTTAAAGTATATATTTCCGACCAAAAGGTCGTGGGCTCGATCCCCACCCCACATGTTTTTGTATGTATGTATATGTATATGTGTGTGTATATATATACTAGGGGGTGTCTCACTCTATACAAGTCACTCTTTTCAATCACCCATATATACCATGCTCAAAAAGCACTCATCATTTTGGAGAAGCTTTCTAGATACTTCCTTTGGGGGAAGGACAAAAGTTCGTAAATTTGAAAATAGTTCAGCTCCTATGGGTGAAGGGGGCTCAACATTGGTAAATTAAAGCAGAGAAATCTTCTTACAAATTGAATTTTTCCACCTAGAGAAAGGGACACTATGGAAGAAAATCATCATAGATATAATTTGGCACCAGACATCCTTCCATCATCATAGATATAATTTGGCACCAGACATCCTTTCTTCTCATAGTTTGTTGAATTTGCGGTGGGAAATAGGACTAATTTTCTTTCTTGGGAGGATGTTTGGTTGGGTGATAGGCTTCTTTGTGTCCAATTTCCTCGTCTTTACCACTTAGTGTCTTTGAAATTTAGTCCTGTGGCTTCTATCCTTCCGCCTCAAGGTTCCTCTTTATTCTTCTCCTCTGAGTTTAGTCGAGAGTCATTGGAGGTTATTTTTCTTATCTCCTTGTCAGATGACCAGTGGTGAGTCTAAGTGGTAGGGATGTTTGTTTTTGGACTCCCAACCTTGTGTTGAGGGGGGTTCTCTTGTGAGTCATTTTTCCATCTTCTTTCCGACCTGTTTACCTGTGAAAGTCCAGCCTTGTCCCTGCTTTGGATTGTAAAATCACAAAGAAGGTTAGATTCTTTGTTTTTGCAGGTCTTACTTGGCAAAGTGAACATTTTAGATTGCTTCCTGAGGCATTCTTCTATGGTAGTGAGGCCGTTTTGGTGTGTGTTGTGCATGTGGTGGTGGGGCCGTTTTGGTGTGTGTTGTGCAAGAAGGATGTTGAAGATCTCGACCATTTGTTGTGGAATCGTCAATTTGCCTGTACTAATTGGTATTGTATCTTCCAAGAGTTCCATCTCAGTTTGGCTAGACCTAGGGGATGCTTGGATATGATAGAGGAGGTTATTTGTAATCCTCCTTTTTGTTTAAGGGTCAAATTCGTTGGAAAGTGGGTTTTTCGTAGTGATCTGGGATCTCTGGTTGGAAAGGAACAACAAGATTTTCAGAGATCTTGAGCACCCTCTTGAGATGGTGTGGTCTTTTGTTAGGTTTAACACCTCTATTGGGCGTCAGTTTCTAAGGAGTTTTGTTCTTACTCGTTAAGTTTTATTTCTTTGCATTGGAGTCCCTTGTATAGTTAGCTTTCGTACTCCATGGGCCAGCTGTCCTTTTGTATGCCTCTTGTCTTTGGGCCTTTCGCCCTTTGTACTTTTTCTCTTTCAATTTTTCTCAATGAAAGTTGATTTACAATAATTTTTTTTTGGCACCACTCATTTTAGTTTTTAATCAGGTTCTTTCTCTCTTTACTCATCAAAAGACTCTTGGAAATATATTATCGAGCATAAAATTCTCTTCTATTCTATAATTGAAATCACTGTGAGCAATGGTTCCTCCATATACTTTGGGAGGATTTCTAGATTAGTGACACAATTTTAGCTGTGGTGTACCAAAGGTTCTCCTCTTGATTTGCCTGAAAAGCTTCATTGACCAAAACCTGTGGAATTTTTCATTCAGTTCATTGAGATATTGGCACAGGGAGAAACCTTAGGTATTATGAAAGCTTTCAATGGGTGTCGCCAAGACATTTGCTTACGAGTTTTCAGCCAATCGACTGTGCAAATCAATGGACATGGTTATTGGTTTGGCTTGGCACTTAGTATTTGTTATTTCATCTTCCTTCTCTGATTTGGTTAACAAAGGTCAAGCGGGGGAGTTCCCTTCCATCCAAAAGTCATTTGGAATGACAAATATCAAAAGCAGGGTTAAGTTCTTCTGGTGGAAGCTCAGTCACAAAAACTTAATAGTCTAATGACAAGATTAAGAAATAGCTCCCACTATGCACTTTTTTTTAGTTCCACTACTACGATTGGACTATCGACCTTTGGATGGTAATAGATTCCTTATCCACCGAGCTAGCTTGGATTGGTAGAGTTTGCGATTCAATAAATGGTTGATGCTCCCTACTTTTCAAATGTCCTTTGACTTGCCAAACAGTTTCAGATACACCTAGTTCGACGTAACACAAAGTCTTGTTCCACTTTGGTGCGAGTGGGGGTTCATGTTGCTCGTTCAAGTTCTTGCTCTAGAAAAGGTGGTCGTGAAAGAAGCACACTGGACATGCTTCGACCATTTACAAGAATCTTTCTTCACAAGATATGGAGTGGAGTGACTATCTTAAATCTCTATGCAACTGATCAAGCAGCATACTGAGATTCCCTCGAGTTACTACCATCACTTGCTCTGAATATTCAATGGACGGGGTAGTAGTAGATTGAGAAGACCTATTGCTACTCCGTATACGAGGCTTTTGGTGTGCCTTATGAGAGATATTTGTACTTAGTTTCTTTCTTTGCTCCTTGAATTTTGTTTTCTTTGTAAAAATGAATAAGAGTCACGAGGTTATTTCTTCCTAGATTGACTTTTAGAATCTTAGGATTTTAGCAAGAACTCGTAAAATTTTAATGATTTTTACATACATTTTGATATAAAAGACGTCAAAACATATTTATCAAGAAGTTGTGCTAGTCCCTAAAATTGTGATTCTTCTTCTATATGTCTTTATATAAATTTAAGGGATTGTTTTGAAACTATTTAAAACAAAGTTATTTTTTGTTTTTCAGAAAAAAGTTATTTTAAAATATATTTGGATAACTATTTTCAAAATGTTTTTTTTTCTTTTAGTATGTTCTCAAAAATGATATTTTTTCAAAAATTGATAAATAAATGAAGTTTGTTCTTCAAAAATTATGTTTTTGTGAAGATTTATTTCAATGTGTACAATAGCAATAAGTCAATAGCTTTCACAAGTCACCTGATTATAATTTTCCAAAACTTGCTAACAAAAATGGAAAACAGTTTTCCAAACAACAGTTCCCAATAAAGTGATTCTTCCCTGTGTCTTGTCTTGGCAATATCAAGCATTTTTTATAGGATCCAAGATAGGAAACTAGGTCTTGCTTTGTTCCATGAGTGATATATCTTGTGCTTGTGCAATAGCAACAGTGAAGACCAGAATAATTTTGTCCTTGTATTGTCCTCCATCTTCAACATTTTGGGTTTGCGCTGGTGTTTTCTTTTCAAAATCCAGGATTGATTTCGGGTTACTGTTTCAATTTGTTTCACCAAAAAATAAAAATTCCAGATAGTAGTAGGTTTTCCATTGCCTCCTATGTATTTGTGTTGGTTGTTTGGCTCTTGGTATCATGTGAATGTTGGTACATAATTTATCGGATGTCTTCGAAGAGACTGTTGGTACATAACTTATGCATTTGTTTTAATACTTCATGATTAAGAAGGTCTATTTTTTTTCTTCCATATGTCTTATGAAAAAATTTGCCCCCTTGGCTTGGTGGTGTGAGCACCCTGGCCCCCCTAACAATGTGTTTTTCTTGTGGCTGTTTTCTGCAACCATACTGCAGTTCAAAGGATATTCTCATGCGTGTAGTGGCACAGAATCTTTCTCCTGAATTGACTCCGGTGGAAAAGGTTACTTATTTCTTTGTACCTTTGGAATGTTGAATCTTCAAAATGTTGTACTGCTCTATACTAGTCCTAGGGGTATTTGATTCTTTTTCCAATTTCCCAATCCTCAAGGTAATGACCCAAAATCCCGAGTGTGCAACTGTAGAGACAACAATCCTTGATGCATTGCACACAATGCATGACGGAAAGTTTTTGCATCTTCCTGTTTTAGATAAAGGTGAGGATTTTTTCCCAGAATCTGAATTTTTTAAAAGTTTTTTAAATTTATTATCAGAATCTGACTTATATAATGAGAAGATATCATTAAACACCCCTCTCCTGGGGAATTGGATGCAAACCACTAAACGAAAATGAATTTCTTAATATGGAAGTGAATTTTTAATGATAACAATTTATAATGCAGAGGGGTGCGTTGTTGCTTGTGTAGACGTTCTACAGATCACACATGCTGCAATATCCACGGTAAAGTAATTCTCTTACCCATATTTGTGTAATCATTATTCCTATCAGAATAGCTAAATAGCATTTTATTAATATATTTCACGAGTGTTAAGCCTGAAAACTTTTGGGGCTTGCATTTCCCAGTGACATTGAAATTGAAATTGATGAGGAAAGGAAATACATTAATTGATTCAGATACAAGATTCTTTTTTAACCCAAAAAAGAAGTAGACTTTTCATTGATAAAATGAAAAGAAACCAGAGTTTAAGGATGCATTCCCAATATGGGGAGGAAGATGAAAGCTAAAAGTAAAAATTAACAAGAAAATGGAGTAATAAAGATCTCCCAATTCATACAAATATCTGAAATAAAAACTTGACAAAAAGGCATGCCAAGAGTCTTAATGACTTCCCGAGGCAAGATCATTGACACCGGTTAAAAGATCACATCTACCTGATTGAATTTTGAATTGACACTGGTGAAAAGATCACATCTACATGATTGAATTTCTTATGCATATAATTGCGTAAGTTGGGGTCAATGGTGTGAGTACTGATGCATCAAGTGAAAAGTGCTCACCTACACCCACATATTGTTATGCAGTTACATGCCCAGCAGGCGATGAGTACTCTTTAATAGGTATGTGTTTTAACGTGTAATTTAGTGAATGATTCTATGTAATGTATACAATAATACAAAGATAAAAGAAGGAAAGAATCAGCTAGTAAAGGTAAGTTGTCTAACTCCTAAAAGTAAGGAAAAATACAGATAATTACAAAATTACAACTAAGGTATAATGGTCATAAACTCGAGGTAATTTCTAACACTCCTCCTCAAGTTGGTAGGTAGATATTTTCCATCCCCAGCTGGTTAATGAAATTTTGGAATTGAGTGTTCATCCACCCTTTAAGTCAGCACATCAACAATTTGATTATGTGTTGAAATGAAGGCCATGCAAATAAGACAACTATCGAGCTTTCCTTTTATAAGGTGTTTGTTGACCTCTATCTGCTTCATTCTATCATATTGTACCTTGTGGGCAATATTAATGACAAATTTAATCCAGAGCAATTCACAAATTGCTTGAGCCATTGCTCGAAATTCAGCTTCAAAGCTTGATCTTGCTAGTCATTTTGATTTTTTACTCCTCCATGTGACAAGGTGTTAATTTGAGAGAGTAAAAAATATACTCCTTGATTCATACATGTAACTTAGGTCTTCTTATATAGGAGAATTACCTACTACAAACAAGGAAAGTAATAAACACCATAAAGACTGAATATCAACAATAAAGACTAAATATTGACAACTAATATTGACACCTAATATTTACACAAATATTGATAAATCCAACACTCCCCCTCAAGCTGGTTTGAAGATGTCGTCCATAGCCAGCTTGCTGATTAAATTGTCGAATTGTTTCTTTGGAAGTCCCTTGGTTAAAACATCGGCAATTTGCTCTGTTGTCGGAAGATAAGGGATACATATTGTACCTGCATCAATCTTCTCTTTAATAAAATGTTTATCAACCTCGATATGTTTGGTTCGGTCATGTAGCACTGGGTTATGAGCTATAGATATGGCAGACTTATTGTCACAATAAATTCGTATAGGTGTCGGCTGAGGAATCTTCAATTATTCAAGTATCCTTTTGATCCATATACCTTCACAAATTCCATGAGCCAATGCTCTAAACTCTGCTTCAGCACTACTCCTGGCCACTACATTTTGTTTTTTGCTCCTCCATGTAACTAGGTTTCCTCCAACAAAGGAACAGTAACCAGAAGTAGACCTTCTGTCGGTAGTACTTCCAGCCCAATCTGCATCA